CTGAACAATTCCTCTATGTGAGGCTGCAAGTAATGATTATTTTGAGTCCAAAGAGTATTCAGCTTATTTTACTTGGCATGTTAATGTCGGTGAAGATTCTGACACCAGATTACTGTTTAAAGTCTATGTCAAGAGCTCAACTCAGTTCAACACATGGGACGTAACAGATGATTTTTGTGACATCACAAGTGTAATCCTGCTCTAATATTCAATTTACAGAAGTGTGATGGGAAAACCTTCAATGTGTATACACTGAGAACGGACTTTTCATTGTAGTAGTACTGTATACATAGTTAATGTGCATATTCAGAGCTCCATCGATGGAGAATGAGCTCTCATTTTAAGACTTAAAAGGAGGTAAATAAATGGTTTTATTTTTGTCTGGGACACAAACTATTATGCCAAGCACATCTCAAAACAGGTCTGGAGAGGATCCTTCAAATGCATATTGTGTCCATTCAACAGTGGCCATACCAAAAAAAATCAGTAGTCACAAAAGTTGAAGAAAACATCTAATTTGACCGAAACAATAATTTTTATTAAAATATTTGCTGATAAATTCTCTGTCAAATATCACGTTTTTCATCTCTTATTATATACATGGAAAGATTCATGCCTCCATTGAATACCATTGCAATATATAGACTATTATTATTATTATCCAATGAGGTATAATAAGATGCTTACCAATTTAGCATTTAGTGCCACAAAGAGACACAATAGTCCCGTTTGGAGCATTATTGGTTTATTACACTCCATCCTTAGGGAACAATCATGACTAACTGGACATTTCTTTGCCTTGCATCAGTTAAAACTTTGACTTGTTTGGTTCATACCAGTTACAAATCAGAAAAAACTGAACCAATCTAATTCTATAAGATTCAGGGATGCAAACTCATCAGGTATAAAAAGTTAAAAAGGTGACTAGGATCCGATCAATGTTTTGCTACTTTGTACTTCTTCTCCTCTACAATTCAGAGGTAAAAGGTATTTCATACCTTTAGTTACTTTACAGATGTGGATGAATGATGTGAAATATAATCAAGTGTTAAATCAGACTTTAGTTCCACCTGGAGTAAATTCACAAGCTGCAGTATACAAAGTCATTCAAACTAGCTGCACCTTTAGCAGCTTTGAGAACACTTTAATGATCAATCATTATAAAACATATCATATATATTATTCTGAAATGGACCAATCTGCACAATGACTACTTTTACTGTCACTACTTTAACTATATTTTGATGAGAATACTTTTCTACTTTTACTTTAGGAACATTTTGGTTGTAGGATTGTTCCTACACTCTGGCACATCCACTTTTACTTAAGTACAATATCTGAGTACTTTTACTTTCACTCAAGTACAATATCTGAGTACTTTTACTTTTACTCAAGTACAATATCTGAGTACTTCTACTTTCACTCAAGTACAAGACCTGAGTACTTCTACTTTAACTCAAGTACAAGACCTGAGTACTTCTACTTTAACTCAAGTACAAGATCTGAGTACTTCTACTTTTAATCAAGTACAAGATCTATAGCCTACTCATACCACCTCTGTTTATAGCCTACGAAAAAAACTATTAGAAAACGAAGGCTAAAGCTAACGTTAGCAGATAGTGACAAAGCGCCTATTAGGCACTTTCACACCAAGTACTTTGCCGTACTTAGTTCATCAGAACTCTTTAGTTCTGATGAACTAAATACAGATCGCGATCACACCGGAATAAGTCCCTGAGGGAGGATTAGGCAAATGGGAACCTTTTTCTCCCATTAAAGTACCTGCTCTCTAGCAGGGACTGAAAAGGGGGTGAAAAGGTTCTCATTAACAAAGTTTTAGTTCCGATTGTTTTGGTGTGAACACACATTTTCGGAACTATATCGGAACTGGGAAAAGTGTTCCAGTCTGTGCCACAGTGACTCCGGACCGCAGTTACTATTAACGAACGCACCCGTAAGTAATGTAGCTGCTGAAGTTAGACCCTCATGCCGCAGCAACAGAGTTCAGCCGACAGACAGAGGTTGTTTCTCAAACTCGAGGAAGGCTGCTTCAGAGCCACTATTTCAAGCATACTACGCCATCGAGTGCCGCCGAAGGACTGTTCCAATGTCCAGCATACTTGGAACTCTACCGAGCCCGGCATACTTCTTTGGAGTAATTTAGAGGCTGCACATGTGTAGACTACGCGGTCTTAAATCCCCACAATGCTTTGCGCATTGACCAATTTCCCCAAATCTGTGGCGGAAAATGTACTCTCATATGACGCACACCTGCACACTTGCTAGCCTGTTCCACTCTTCGTTTTCCGAATGCCAGGAAGTATTCTTGCCTCGCTTCTGAGGCAAGTGACTCGGAAGACGTGCCACCAAGCAAGCATACTCGACACTACTTCGTAGCGAGAAATTTCGAGGCTGCACATGTGTAGACTCCGCGGTCTTAAAATCCCCACAATGCTTGGCGCACGGACCAATTTCCCCAAATCTGTGGCGGAAAATGTAAGACGGGGCCTCATATGACGCACACCTGCACACTTTTTCGCCTGTTTCGAATGATCTTGCATTATAAGTGTATTGTGATACTGTAGATATTTGCAGCAAAATACAACACATTCAATAGTTTCTCATCAAGAGGAGACCAGTGGCTGCAGGGTAATAACAGAGATGTCATGTTGTTGGGGTTTTACTTCAGATGAGCTGTCCAGATATCAATAATTCCTGATAAGGCTGGTCTCGAGTCTTATGTAGGCTACATAACGAGGGGCGACCCGCCGCCTCTCATCCTTACTGTAATTGTTGTGTGCATCAAAGAGAGGCAGATTGACAGGGTGTATGGGAGGATTAATACAGTGAGGAGGAACAAGAGAGGGAGCAGGCTAAGAAACGGGGGTGAGAAGGAGGAGCGCAGGAGAGGACAAAAACTGGGGAGAGAGTTAACGAGAGGGAGAGCAGTAATTGTGTGCATTGTGCCGGCGCTTCTTTTGCGGAGTGTGGCTGTGGAGGTGCGGACGCTAACCCCTCCAGCAGCCCGCCGTGATCTGAGCCAGCTCTCAGACTGCTGTATTCCAATGCAATTAGGCCACTCAAAGGCCTGCTTAAAGCTGTACCCCTAGCCCCCCCCCCCCCACACACCCCAACACACCCACAGATGCAACAGCCCCGGTCGGTGGGTCCCCTCCATTGTAGCGGGGAGGTGTATTCTGTCCCTCTTTGAGGCCCTTGATGAAGAGACCACCCTGGGGAGCAGAAAAAAGGGAGGATTACCTCTCTTTCTTTCCCCTTTTTCTTTGTCTTTGTCTTTATCTCTATCTCTTTTGGTTAGGAGATCACCTCCAAACGAGGAGAGCTTTGGTTCGCTCCTCCAAAGAGACTCTGTGCTGGAGGAACCAGGACGAAGAAGGTTTTCTGTGATGGATGTCATCGCGGGACTGCTTTCGCAATATCACTTCCCTCTTCCTCTTTAATTATTCATACAGTCATATATTTCAACAAGTGGCGTGGGGGGTGTAGCTCGGTGCTGGTCCCCGCTGGCATCAGTCAGTCAGGCCCCTGCATTAAGAGAGAGCTCTCCTCCACAGCAGAGTTCTGTTGGCTGGCTTTCAGCGCCTCTCGTTCCCCCTATAGCATTTAAAGCAGATTACCAACCTAACGCTACACCTCCCTAATAAGAGGGAAAAAACCTGGCACATTAACACCTGCAATACCACTCAATGGCATCAACAGATTAACGAGGTAATCCACACAATGAGGTCTTTGATTCGTGTGCTTTGGCAGGCAATAACGCCAGGCATAATGCACACTGTTATTTCAGACCGTCCCAGCACGAGGGAAGCTGGCAGAAGCCGTTTTTTTTTGTTCTTTCCGTCAGATGAGCTTTTGATGAATTTCAAATCATGCATCTGGTGTGTTTGCCTGCTTCCTTGTCAGTGAAATAACCTGCTGGCTGCTCCTGTGGCACATGTGAGGAAAAGGAGAAAAGGGGGAGGAAAGCTTTTTCTAAAGGCTGTTTAAACAGCAGGGCTGAGGAGCACTCCCTCACCCCCCCCTCCTCTCATCCACCCATTTTTCTGCATAAGGACGTGCGTATGTAAGATGTGTGTGTGTGATAGATCTCGCGGCTCCATTGCTCATGTGCGGCTCGATTAGCCCCACGTGCCTCGTTCGTAAGACGCAGAGCAGAGCAGATGGCAGGAGACGCACCGTGTTACCATGCTGCGGCACTATGTAACGCTGCTCTAATTGAAACATCAATACTGCCCTGTCAATGCTGCTATACTTTACAAAACACCATAACCTACAGACCTGCACTTGACTGGGGGAAACATCTCTGTGTTTGAGATGCAGTGGTAAAAAAGTTTAAAATTGCACCAAAGTAACTTTTTGTTCTGTAATTGTTATGGGTGTTTTTCGTATCCTAATTTCAATTAAACACTTGGGTTGATTTGTGTTTGTGTTGTGCTGGTGAAAGAAGCATGCAGCAATGAGGGAGAGAGTTTCCTCCGCTGTGGCACATTTTTAATAAATTGATAAAAAGTTGAGGGAGTTCACATGCTGTGATCGGCAATTCAACGCTATCGGAAATTCAGCGGAGAACAGAGAGAAATTAGGCGCTTGGAAATTAATTTGCTATTTGTCCAACTCAATGAGGAGTGACACAGCCCCTTTAATGAATGGGTAATCCATTTCTTATTGCGCTAAGCTGAGTTCACCCTTCAATGAAGTGGAAAAAGACAAACATATCTTTCTCTAACCTTTGCAACATCCCAAAGCTCATGAGAGCTGCTCCTGAGACTATTTGTTTTTTGGGGAACGATTTGTACGTCTGTGTGTGTTTCTGCTGGGGAGGGATTGAGTTTTAAAGCCAAGATAGGAATCCACAATAAATAATCCGTGCCGAAACTGAGGCCACGGTCAAAGTGCTATACATGGAATTGATTCATAATCAATTGGTATGCTACAACAGTCATTATTTAACTGCGAGTCATGTTTTTTTCTTCAGTTTGCCGCCTGCTCCCTTGAGTCCCCCCCCCCACGTCTTGCTGCTCTTCCTGGATCTGAAGAGTGTTGGTGATATCCCGGAGCGTCCGTAAGGGTAAGGACCTTTTCACTCGATCCAAATTCTCCATGATGGTCTTTGTCTCATGAAGCTGCTTCACATCAGAAGGTCGTGACTCCGTGGAAGACTTCTGTGCCTCATCTGTCTGATGTAACTGTTGGATACACATGAGTGTATGACATACAACTTAACTGATAGGAAATACACTTGGAAACATGCTGTCAAAGCCATTAAGGCTACAACTATAACTACTTAATCAGTCTAAAACTGAAAAATACTCCTCTTAATACGATATAACAAGATAAAAGCAGGAAATGTTCATCCCTGAGAGGCTGAAAAACTGCAATATCTGCTGTTATCCGGTAAAACATGATCAAAATAGTTGCAAGTTGAACATCAGCTGATCTTATTATTTACAAAATTAATTGATGCATCTTTGTGTCTGTAACATTTTGAAAAATGCCGGGGAACATTTCTTAAAGCCCATTTATGTTGATCCGAACTTAGAAAACTATCCCATAAGACAAAGAAATACCTACAAATATTCCAATATAGAAGCTTGAACTAAAACATCGTTATACTTTTTGCATTACAAATCTGGCTCGTTAAAAGTAACAACAAATTATGTAAAAAGTCATGAAGCACCTCCTAATATTCGCACAAAAATGGTAAGAAGAAATCTGCATTTATTTTTGACCAATCTTCTGTAGGGCAACTAGCCAGTATCTCGGTGTATGGTGCTGCAGCTTACCTGGAGAGCCTTACTGGACTTCAGGGGCTTTTTGAAGGTCTGCTCGTCCAACGCTAAGTCTCCAGAAATCTTCAACATCTGTTGGAACAGATATTTGGTGTTAATGACAAATAAACAATAACATAGGGTATAGCCACAGATCAAATGTTCTTCAAAATGTTTTAATTATTTCAGGAGTCATTACAAATTAAAGTCAATTACATTAAAGGTGAACAAAAAAGGTTTTCCATTCAGCAGTAATTAAGTTAGGGGACTCACAAGAGACAGATTTTTTAAAGAATAGTTCAAATCTAAGTTGCAGAGGCAAATATAAGCTAGCCTTTATAACATAGTAAGAGTGCAAGCTCTATAAACGCTGAGTACTACGTCTCCCATAATGCAGCCAATACAGTCCTTCATACAACAGACTCAATGCCCCCCCAGTTTATCATCTTTCTGTTAAATGAAGTGGACATCTTTATTCCAAACCTCATGACATCATCACGGGTGGTTTTCAAACACACATTTCCTCCTCCAGAGGAGATTACAGCAACAGTTTGCATGGCTGAGTGGTACATCCTATCACTAGTGAATGACCTTTACATAAATGTGTAAATATGTGCAGTGGCCCTTTGATCTTATTCTAATATGCCGTGATTTATTTATAGTTCTTGTGGAACATTATTAGTTCTTTTTAAGACTCCTCGAGGTCCTCCGTCTGTTGCACTTCACACCAGCGCCACTTGCAGCAGGGGTTGTGACTCCTTTGACATCCTTTCCCCCTCCTTATGGATGTTGTGAGTAAAAAAAAGAGTAATCACCAGAAGAAATGTGATGCAACCCTGTTTTCTTAAGGAAAAAAACAGGGAGCAAAAGCTACATTTGTAGTCAATCGAAAACTGGCTCTATCCGCGGGAGCGACGTTTCAGAATCCGGTTACGATTTGATCTTGGCTCAAGTTTCCAGTGAGTGTTGACGTGTCTGAGTTGTGAGGAAATCCAAGCCGGTAGCTTACAGCGGGGGCTTCACTATTACAGTATTTACAAGGTATGAGGAAGTGGGAGCGCATAAACAGACGGCACCATACACGGCACTTTCAATTATTTCTCACAGCATTCATGAAAATAGAAGCACAGTATGAACAGCAAAACTACAAAAAGACATGAAGCAAAAAGAGAACTCCCAAGCTAAAATAAATGGCATTGTATGCTGTCGTTGGTGAAGAGCTGAGAATAGTGTATGACTCCGGAGTATGAGAAATATATATATTGTGTTGGAGTGGAGTGAGCAGTGATGGTGCAAAAACTGGAGCATTAGTAATTAGAGTTTAGGTTGCAGTTTTGATTTTATCGCATTTTAAAATCAGTTTTGAGATTAAAATTGGTCTGAAGAACCACTTGTATGAACTGTAGTACATGTTGTATGAGTCATGTAGTACTTTGTCTCCACTGGGTAAAACACTTCTAAAATAGGAATTATATATTAATGTCCTAGCCTGGGTGAGTTTAAAGTCTATGTTTCCAAAAACATGCAAAAATCAACGCTGCTAGCAGCTTATTGATGCTATAACATTGCTTTGAGCTAAACGCTAACGTCGACATGCTTAAATACCAACCCAGTCTCACGGCATTTCGTGTTATAGTCACAACATTTAATCTATTGATTCGTGTTCACCAACACGATTTTCCCCTTTTTTTCGTGTCACACAGAACGATTTTAAAAGCAATGTATTTCTATTGGGTACAAGCGGCCGAGATGGGTTTTGTCTTTCGCGTCGAAAGGAGCCAGTTGAGGTGGTTCGGGCACCTAGTTAGGATGCCACCTGGGCGCCTCCCTAGGGAGGTGTTCCAGGCACGTCCAGCTGGGAAGAGACCAAGGGGTAGACCTAGAACCAGGTGGAGGGATTATATCTCTTCGCTGGCCTGGGAGCGCCTTGGGATCCCCCAGTCAGAGCTGGTTGATGTGGCCAGGGAAAAGAAAGTTTGGGGCTCTCTACTGGAACTGCTACCTCCGCGACCCGACCACGGATAAGCGGGAGAAGATGGATGGATGGATGGTATTTCTATTGGTAGTATGTTTTGTGCCTGCAGCACGTCTTTTTGTCCGTTCGGGTCTTGGAAGACCGGAAGCTGTGTGGTTCATAAAAACATGTTTTTACTCAATATCAAGCCACGATTATTGTTTTTATTTTAAATCGTATAATGTCGGACTTTTGTTGCCGTCTGTGAGGAAAATAAATGGGGCTCAGAGCCTCAGAATACTGAAATCTGTGTTTTTAAAATCCTTTTTTCCTTCTAATTTGTTATTCTTTTCTAAATAACACACTGTTACTTACTCACCAATAACACACAATTATCCTTGCTTTTATTTATTGGTTTGATTCCATAATATCGGGCTTTTCTGGCGTCCGTCAGGAACTGAATTTCAAAATAAAAATAACCGGAAACAGACGTAGGCCTCAAGGAGTTTAGGATGGCCGAAGACACTACACTACCCATAATCCCCAGCTATCGTTTAGGACTACAGACCCCGTGATTAATTTTCAAGCTCGGGGATTGGATGTTGGAGTGGCAGTGCGCCAAGGTTACGCCGAGAGTCAAACAGCTGTTTGAAATGGAACGAAACCACGCCAGACTATCCAAAACTGGAATCGAACGCCTCCCAAGAACTACACATGCTGGCTATTGTGTTTCGCAAAATGCTCTATGGGACGTCTCTACTGAACGTTTTTCGTTTTTCCCGCAATTAGAAGTTGCCAGTATTAAACACATTGGTGTTATCAAATGTAAAACATATAATTAATAAATGGGTGAAAATCGCTTTTATCCATAATGCGCAGCATTAATATATACCCACGTGACAGATCATTGTTACTTTGTAATTCTTCTACTCTACAATTCAGAGGTTAACCTGGTATTACCAGGTTAACCTCTGAATTGTAGAGTAGAAGAATTACAAAGTAACAATGATCTGTCACGTGGGTATATATTAATGCTGCGCATTATGGATAAAAGCNTGTGTGTGTGTGTGTGTGTGTGTGTGTGTGTGTGTGTGTGTGTGTGTGTGTGTGTGTGTGAGCGCACAGGGTGGCAGCGGTCTTTGAGCAGAGATATCTCTGATTCCCAGAGGACTTTGAGGCTCAAGCTGACTGTGACTAGTGCTGCTGTAGGAATATAATGGCACTATTTAGCCCGCAGCGCTGTGGCTACACTCACAAACACACATACACACACACACACACACACACACACACACACACACACACACACACACACAGCCACTCTTCCAGGCCTTGACTGTCAGATCATATGTTTACCATCATCCCTGACGCCTTGTGTGAAGTCACTCACAAAAACCAAACACACAGTGACAAACTGATAATGGAATAACCAGCAGATAATGAATGAACTATTGTGGTCTAATTATTGTATGCAGCCAATAGATACAAACTTTGATATTTGCCACTTTACAGGGTATGATTATAATAATGTATCCAATACTACTCTGGTTTTCCATTGAAAGATGTTCACTTAAAATGATCTTAATATAATAAGACATCAGGATCGGACTTGTGTTTTATATTTAGTTTATCTAAATATGTGTAAACTGATTGTTTACAAGTGTTTTAACTAATTGAATTAGCAATGTTTGAATATCAACTATTAAAGTTAAATGTAAACTGGCATAGTCTTCTTTCATTTCTGATAACATGTTATCTAAGTTAAATGTATGAATTAGTATTTTGAGGATTGAGAATGTATATCAAGTTGTGTTATTACTCGGTAGGATTTAGGTTAGCTACAGCCATACATACTGTACATGTAGATTTTCAACAATGCGTATGTATATTTTCAGTTATTTCTCTAACTTATTATTTGATGATCATTGTAATTCATATTTGTAATATCAATATATTTATATTGTTTGTGTTTTTTCCTAGTTTCTCCTTTTCTCCGTCATTTAACTCACAAAAACAGAGGCCCCAGTCTCCAGTGCTTGTAAGGTGTTACGTGCATGCAGGACAGTTGCATAAATATTAGTATAATTTTTTTAAAGATTTTTTCAGGCAGCGGGCATGACACACGGCCTCCACACAGCGACCGAACCCTAGTAAATGGGCGGGTGGTTGGAGCATACTAACTTATGACTTACTAATTGCAAAACTATTATTATTACTTTACTTTTATACAAAGTAGATTGTGGGAGTTGTTACCCAGCTTTGCCGACAATTAGAAGTCCAAGCTGAAAAGGACACGACTAGAAATCAGGAAAGTATAAATGAAACGCAGATAGTCAGCCCTAAACATTCTATTACTTTAAAGGGGTAATAGTTATTCCTTTAAAAAGTGTAATATAGTTCGATGCATTCCCTATAACAAGGAGAAGTAGCACTCACAACAAGTAGTAAATAAGTGTAAAAATATCTCAGTATATACAGTAACTACACAAACTCACGCACAGCAGACACCCGGTAGTTGCTACAGTGAAACTCACACACATTTTGTGTACCTTTACACACAAACATACACACACACTCTCACTCACTCTGGCCCAAGGTGGATTTCTAGAGGTGCATATATTTACATATATCTGCATGTTTAATGAGTTTTGGGAGATCAAGCGATCCGAGCAGCCCTTTGTGGGTATTTCTTTTCTTTTTTTCTTATGTGTGTGTAAGTGTGTGTGTGTATGTGTGGAGGGGGGGTCTCCATGTAAATATCACCCACTGTGTGTTGGCACCCGTCACAGATGGTCGGGGGTGAAGGCGCCCTGTAGGCACAGGATACCTATTTCTGTTTGTCTGTGTGTGAGACTGGGAGGCAGAGAGAGTGTGACTCTTGTGTGTGCACGCTCCCATGTGTGTGTTTGTACTACGTGCACTTTTTGGTGTGTTTTTGCTTATGAGTTTCTCTGTGTGTGTTGCAGAATGTTCGTTGTTTTCTCCTTTGTGTGTGTGCGCACTGTGATACTGTATCCATACGATTTACCTCTGATGTGTATGCATGTGTCTTCAATACCCTAAATTAGAGTGCTTGTGTGTACTATTTAGACATACGTTCTGCAACCCTGTGTGTGTGTTCCCTTGTTTGTGATTAAGCATGGAGCTGTGTGTGTGTGTGTGTGTGTGTGTGTGTGTGTGTGTGTGTGTGTGTGTGTGTGTGTGTGTGTGTGTGTGTGTGTGTGTGTGTGTGTGTGTGTGTGTGTGTGTGTGTGTGTGTGTGTGTGTGTGTGTTTGTGTGTGTGTGTGTGTGTGTGCGCCTCAGCATGTGTGTGTCTCCCAGCATGCAGCGGGGCCATGATGGCCCTGTTTTGGATGATTGATGTGTTGGAGGGATCAGCGAGGAGCCCAGGTTGGGCCTGAGCCTCAGTCTGACACACTGCTGCTTCCCTGCTGCTTTACATATGTAGACACAGCAAGACGCCCCCCCCCCTTCCCCATCCCTCTCTGCATCCCGCTCTAACACAGCCAACACAGGTTCCTTTTTTTAAGGCTTTTATTTTGAAGCTTCTGTTCATTGCCTGAAAGTAACCATGCGCTAAAACAACAATGTTAATACCATATTCTGAGGAGCTAAGGGTAAAGTAATATTACTATATTATTTAAACTCCATTATTCTTAAAGCCAGGTGAGTTTGGTCGGGTAAGGATTGTGTTTTAATGTAATGTAATGCCAACATTATACACACATTTTATCCTGAGTTTCACTTGAGATTTTTATGAATTATATGTTTCCACGCTAAGAAAAATGACAATAATGTGAACATAAAGTTTGCAGCTGCGTGCAGAGATTTCAATTTACACATAGGGTATCAGCTGATTTTTAAAAGGGGATCGATATTCTCTGCATTCTTCTTTCTAAACTCCTTTCTCTTCTCAGGCTCATCCTCCATCGCTGGGTCTCACTTTCCTCTCCCTGACACTCACCGGTTCTGATATCCTGCCATCTCTCCCCCGTCACTAATCCCCCCTAACTCTCCTTTTTCTCTCTCTGGCTTTGAAATCCTTCCCCTCTCCCCTCTGTTCCTCTGCCTCTGCTAATCCTTTCATTTTCTTTGTCTCTCTTTTGTCTTAAAGTCAGTTTAATTTCTCCTTCCCTCATGCCCTGGAGTGCTCACCCTTTTTATTCCTCTATGGTTAAACATCATGCCACTAGTATACCATAAAAAGGACTTATGGCTGACTTCATCACCAAATATGACAATGTAATATTTTATTTCCTCACATATAATTAGAATGTACATAAAGTAATACCATCCAAAAATTGTATTTATTCATTTCATGGTCAGGCGAGTATGTTAAAAATTACCTTCAGCTTAATTAAAAACAATCAGGCAACTCAAAATATTTTCCTCATGAGGTTTCCAAGTGACAGCGGGGTCGCAGCGCCATGGCGAGCGATGTCGACCCAGTAGAAAGGCATGCTGGGAGGCTGGCAGGCATGCGAGGCGTATCGATCCACCTGTAGCATCCAGCTGTTTGTTTACCAACAACAAATCAATGCAGCGCTCAGCTGGGGGCCGCCATGCCTGGCCTCTGGTCTGCTGGTAGCACTCACACACACTCATATATAGAATACACACACACACACGAACGTTTGGCAACTGCTCTGGTAGATGTTCTAAGTTTCTATGACATTAGTTTTTGACTTGCTTTGGACTATAGGACGTTTTTCTTTTTTTTCCGAGTATGACATTACAAGTTGAGTGCATAAACTGAATAAGCCAGTAACACTGATGTTTATTTAAAAAAATTAAGGATAATTTCCCACAAGCTTGTTAGTTCACCAAATTACTGGAGGTGATTCAAAACTGTTTGAGGGAGTCCTTCATCCCCAAAATGACCATTAATTACCTGGTTACCTTGAATTCTTGAGGATTTTTCTTGCATGAATCCACAGAGAACAAAGATTCTAAAGAACATGGAGGTCGATGTATAACAACAGCAAAGCTATATTAAAACATCTGTTACGAAATTTCACACAATTCGAGATGTATAATCCAAGTTTAATTTCACAGCATGAGACTTTTTATGCAAAAGTATTTTTAATATTAAGGTTTTGGTGGAATTGCATGTATTTGGCAAGACAACTCTGTTGTGATTTTTTTTTTATCATTGTATAGCCGTGTAAGAAAATACAAATTTTAATTCTCAAATTCAAGTTTACACAGAGTTAGTAATTAATACAGAGGGGGGAAATATTCCTTTACGTTATCAGCTTCAAAGGCCGATTTGATAGAAATGTATTCGGACAACTATGGCTCCATTACATTTTGATGTTATATTCATTTGTTCCAATTGTTTTAATCCGTGTGCCCTGCCTAATACATCTTTAGGCATTCAGAGGATATTTTTCAAAGTCTCGAGTCAGAAAGCAAAGTTAAAGTGAGGTCACAACTCGGTGGTTAAAAGTCAAGGTCACTGTTACCTTAATAATTCCATAACCATAATTCTAATGTCCATATGATAATGACAACAACTTCACGTCCAATAAGATGAACTGTAAACCTGGAGGCATACAACCACAGGGCGGTAATTCTAGTGTAGTCTACTGTAAAGTCATCAGATTTATGACTCGAGCTTAACTCAAACCTGAGGGAAATGACTCGAGTCCACACCTCTTCAATAACGCCTGGATCAAACTAAATGATATCAGCCCCGGGAGGCAGGAATAAAAATGAGCATCGGGCATGACAATTGCTCGCTTTATCTGGTGTTACGTGTCAGGTGGAAGACAGACGAGCCAGCATCTGGGACGCTTCACTTGCCACATACATCAGTACTTATAGCTGAAGATAGTTTGTAATGCCTGTCCCTAGATGAGATTTTATAAAAACACACAAAGGAAAAAGACATACAGTTGTAGAAAACAAAAACAGCGATTAAATAAAGTTAGAAAACTTAATAACAAGCACCATATCATATAAACGGCTAAAAGCTGGGCCCAGTCATGATGTCATGATCAAGTGTGAGTTTTGTAAGTCAGGAGTTCATCTAAAAAAACAACCACAAAAAGACACATGTTTTTTTCAGGTTCATCATTGTATTTTATGTCTCTCCTGTGACTTGTTTACACGCTTTATTCAAAAGCTCTTTATTTTTCTCATACTGCCTGTGCTGCAGCACCTCTTTTCACCCTCTGTCTGAAACCAGAGCCCAGTCTGCTTTGATTGGTTAGCTGGCCGGCTCTGTTGTGATTGGTCAACAGCTTGGAGAAGTCCAGGCCCTTGGCCTATCACTTCCAATGTGTTGGAGCGCTAGCCAATAGAAGCACCAGTCTTACGTAGTGATGTCACGGAAATAAACAAAGGAGTCCAATCGAGGCGTTGTAGGACATTTTAGCCTTTGAAGACCATTTACATGCACAAAAAATGCATTTATAATCTGAGGAGTCTCGTTATTTCATTTGTATGCATGGATTTAAGATAATTAAGTTTAATTTCAAATCTCAACATTTTGCTTCTTATTATTAATTAATATTATGGTGGCAGTGCAAGTTGGCATAATTTACCAATGTTTGATTGTTGTGGATGCAGTTTTGATCAATAAGTGGTTAAGGAGATTAAGTGATTGTCCACCAATCGTAAGGTTGGCGGTTCTATCCCCAGCCAATGCAGTAAACATGTCAAAGTATCTTTGGCCAAAGGCTGTTTGAATATGTGTGAATGTTAGTCTGTGCCACCGCTGTATGAATGTATTGGTGAATGTTGAGTTGTGTGTTATTTTAAAGAGTTTTGAGTGGTTTCAAAGGCTAGAAAAACAACAATGCAATCCATTTACTTTGGCTGTACATTGGCATGAAGCAGAGCCATATTTATGTTAGAGAGTCTAGTGATGTAGTCATTTACAACATCAGTGGTATATTCCAACTTTCTCCCCATGAATTCAGTCCACTAAAGTATGTTTTCCTATTGAATCAGGGTTGTTGCTGAAATGATGGCCTTGTTGTTGTGTTTTTTTCCAGGTGACTGACCACAGAGGCACAGTGTTGAGCTGCAGTCGACCGAGTGACGAAGCATCCGGAGCTCTGCTACGTGTTACACTCATCCTCTACGGAACCTATCACCCACACAGGGCCGTGCACGGTATGTAAGAGTGCGCTATAAACACATGCCGACTGAGGAGAGAATGGAAGCAGGCGGGATTAACATGTTCTGAGTGTACTTCTGAAAAACAACACCTAAATTAATTGATACATTATTTAGTTAAAAAAGCAGAAAATCATTTAATTTAAAGAGACATTTCAGTGAAACTTTCCATGACATCCACTTCCTATGATGCTTATATGTATCATTAGCTGCTTAAAGAACTATCTTATTATAAGCACTCATAAATAATCATGTTGTTTTATAATACATTATTAAGCTACATAATAATATTGTCATCTTACATTATTATAATGTAATAATGTGATTATAAGTCACTATAAAGTTCTCACCGTTTGCTTTATTTTTATGTTTTGTTTGTCATGTGTAGATTTTATTAATTGTATTTGAACTTTTACTTACGTTTAGTAACCTCATATCATATCATCACAATATCTTTAATTGATGTGATTATACAGGAAAATAAATGATGAACTACAACTATGGGAATTAAACAATACGATCATTGCAAAAGAAAGTGACCAGCAAATACAGTATGAAGAATTATGATAGTTAAGTCATTTAAAATGCTTTTATGATGTTTTATGGGTACTGTTATAAATCATTATGAATATGTATGAGTAAATAGTGAATGGACTGCATTTGAGACAACTCAAAGCACTTTTTTGATTGCTGAAATATGTATACAGTGCTATAAAAGATGCATTATAAGTATTTTACAAATGTATTATGGACAAACAGACATAGAAAGTGATACCAAACAATGTCAAATGTTTTTTAAATCCACAAGTACAGAACAAAGACTTCCTCACCCTCCAATCACACCTCCACCTGCCACCCCTGCTTCATGGGCAGAGGCGGGGTAGTCAGAGGAAGTAAGTCAGGCCACTGACCACTGAGACTGTGATGTGTAATTACAGCCTGACCCCTTGGCTGCCCCTCCCCCTCCTCCTCCACGGTGTGTCAGCTCACCGGTGCCCACAACCTCCACACACACACACACACACACACACACACACACACACACACACACACACACACACACACACACACACACACACACACACACACACACACACACACACACAGACACACACACACTGTTCATTCACAGGTTTCATACAGTGTTGCTCTTTCTCAATCTTTTCCCCAATGACATCATTCTATAGTAGTTTGCCTGCTCTGAACTTCACCCACATTACAATTTCAAAACAACTGTAGGACGATTATACTGAATGCTGTTTTGTATATTAATGGAATGCTTTGAAATGTTAGGAAATATAATTATTCCACATTATTTAATTTTGTTTGCCAAGATTTAGATGCGGAGATTGAAAGCAACCTGTAAGCTAGTTAATTAAGTTAGAGCAAAAACATTGGACAGAACAACGCCCTGTGTTATGCTAAGCTAAGCTAACTTCATTGCTAGATGTTTGCTAAAAAGTGAAAGAAAGATACCTCCCTAAAATACTTTTAATTGATATATACCCCAAGACTTTTAAGAATCTTTTTGACATCTTATGTTTCAATTAGCAAATTAGGCATTATCTAATGCTGACTTTTGATGAAATCAGGAGAAATCTGCAGAAGCAATTAGACAACGTTAGTAGTAGCTATAAACACAGAAATTAGTTTTCCAAAAATGTTTTCCATAGGTCAGAAGAGAAGACTTGTCTTGAAGCTAAATGGCCCAAAATCTTCAAATTAAACCTTACATTAAAACCTTTTTCTCTGTTTGCCCTTAAATTATGCTTTTTAAGTCTTCTTTAAATTTTGAGTTTACACTGTTAACAAACTAGAATTTAATTACATTAGCTTTGAAATGGTTCACACTTCCTGTCACTAAAGCAACAGGAAGTGTGTTTAATTTCATACCATTTGCTCCCCTTTTAATTATCAACCTTCTCTTATAGGGCATCTTTGGTAAAGCCAACTGCATTTTTTAGGACAAAAACCGTGACACTTTTGATGTCATTTATACTGAAGTGGATATGTTTTCATGTAATTGCAGTCCATTTATATTGTTCTCTCCTCAATCTATTGTTAATGCCAGCTAGCCAGCAGATACCACATGGTGAGCTTTATGCTCCTGATGTGTAGGAGAAAGCTGTGTGTGTTGGTGTGTGTTTCTCTGCGTCTGTGTGTGTGTGTGCCTGTCCCTGTTTGTGTTTGTTTGGTGGCTATACAGCATGTGAAGGCAAATTGCTGTGATTATGTGGCAGTAATTGAACAGGGATGGTGTGTTTAATTGAGTTGTTGTTTCCTGATGTTTCTCTGTAGTAGCAGGAGCCGTCGCGCTGACAGGTGCCTCGTCTCGGCTCCCTGAGAAGAGAGGCTTTTTCTATGTATACCGGCGTCACATAGGCTTTGTTGTGTCTTTTTGAGCAGTGTTT